GTCAAGAGATCGAGTCCATCCTGGTCAACATGGTGAAACCCGTCTCTACTAAAAATACAAAAAAAAATTAGCTGGGCATGGTGGCGCGTGCCTGTAATCCCAGCTACTCAGGAGGCTGAGGTGGGAGAATTGCCTGAACCCAGGAGGCGGAGGTTGCGGTGAGCCGAGATCGCGCCATTGCACTCCAGCCTGGGTAACAAGAGCGAAACTCCGTCTCAAAAAAAAAAAAGCAGCCACGTTGTTCCTTAACAAAAATATTTATTACACACACCATTTATACTTTCTGTAACTTGATTTTTTTCTTAATATTTTGTGGAATACATGTAAATCAACTTCATTCTTTTAATAGTTCCATAGCATTGCATACTTTGAAGTTAACACATTAAATTCAATGGACATTCAGGCACTTTCAAATGTTCATAGTAGTAAGATAAGTTATGTAAAGAATATTCTTTCATAACTCTTTTACATTTTCAGATCTTTTTAAATAATTGTATTTTTGTCATTTAAAAATACATACAATTATATATAAAGTCTACACCTCCACACATTCCTTTACTCAGCATTTGCCTACTTTGAGCAAACTTCAGACATACTATTTCTTCTGTCAAATCTTAAAGATAAAACTTCCTTAAAAACAAGTAATTTAAGGAAAAATTTAAAAATATTACAGGTCCTGTTCAAGTAATATGAATAAAATGTTAATGTGGGATGTGTTAGAAACAATTTATTCTCTGATGGAATTTGGGTAAATTTTACTCATTAAAGCCTTTCTCATGGACCATTTATTAGTCACAGTGAGCTTCTCAACAAGATACAGATTTAAAACAATTTTTTAGGAACTAAAATGACAGCCAAAAGTAGTGATTCCTTTTTGGAATCATGAAATGAAAGGATAAATGGAACCTCTGAGAATTTAAAGAATGCTTCAGACCCACACTTTTACATAATTATGTGTACATGCAATTTTCAATCCCTATGAAATGTCAGTGTAATTTCCCCAAACAGATAATATGCTTAAGGTGATATATCCCAAGTGTATCAAACTTGGCATAAACATAGTTTTATTGCATAGTGAAAATTGCCTAGATTCCCTACCTATTGGTGAAGTATGCATCAATGGACAATATTTGTCCAGGGTCACAGATACAGAAATATTTGTCAGTTTCATCAAGGAAATTTTCAGTAGTTAAGTAACTGGGATTTAAGTCAGTTACATCAAGGAAGCTTTCAATTATTAAGCAACTGGTTGTTGCTAAACAGAGCTTGGTGTTTTTATATACATGACATAATTTAAAACAAGACGATTGTGAAGTATAAAGTAATATTCTCTTTGTAAAGTAATGGAACTAAAGATCCAAGATTGTATATAACTTGCTTAAGGTGCCGTACACTACAAGGGGCAGAGCTGGAAACTGACAGAAGGCCATATTTTCACATACCACTTTTCTTCACATGCTATACGAGCACTTATGTCCTACTCTAATTTTATTTCTATCTTTCATACATCTATGTTTTTTGAAATAGAAACTTCGTTTCTGGTTTGGGTCTATGTCTAAACAAAAATATTCTTATTCACGTCCTATGCCTAGTTCAGATGTCAGAACTTGAGAATTCATACTCAATTCTAGTAAAACCTACCATATGACAGTCCACTGAGGTAATTCACATGTGACATCAATAATATATACCTATAAAGGGTAAAACGTAATAGGGTGGTTGACTAAGAATATGGTTTTGATTATTGTATGTTCAACTCCTTACAAATTGACTATCTTGAAGAAAAAATAAATTATTCTGAGAAATAACTTTATCCTCAAATTAAAGTAACTGAGAGTTGATATGTCTAAGATTGCTTTGTCTAAGATAGCTTCCCCTATCCTTGTATCATGTATTTCATTCATAGCCAAGGGAACATTTTTTATAATGCTGATCCGTTAGTTAAATCTAATTTCCTAGTTCACTCTATGTTAGTCACTAAAATTTCTGTGTCCCCAACTCTTTGGTTCATGTAATTAATACTCAGTCCCTAAAAAAATAATACTTGGTTTCTTATGGTTTCAAGCAGTCCTTTAGGATTGAAATATGTATGTGTGTGTGTGTGTGTGTGTGTGTGTGTGTGTGTAGAATATGAATATTGAAAACATCTGCAAAATATGCAAGATATTTATTTATTACACAAAAATATAGCCACTTTTCCAGTTGTCTACTCCCACTATATACTTAGTCACCCTCTAACCTTCCATTTAAATTATTTTAAATAGGATGTGATCCTTTAACCCAGGAAAAGGAGCAAGTGTGAATAAAAGGTATTAAGGATTATTCCACATTTTATGGCCTGATTGAGTGAATAGAGATCTCATTTACTAAGAATAGAAACAAACGGATGAAGTAGATATAATAGAGTTGGACCAGAGAGAGTAAAAATCAAGAGAGGTCTTCCGATGCGCTTTCAACGCCATTATAAACAACCTTGTATGTATCTCCTTGAGTACATTGGAGAATAGTTTATTTTTAATTTTTTAATTTTGTGGGGTAAATAGTAAGTGCATATATTTACAGGCTACATGAGAAATAGTTAAATGGAGAATCGGATATCCATTCCCTCAAGCATTTGTCTTTTGTGTTACAAACAATCCAGTTGCACAAATGTACGATTAAGTTATCATTGACTATAGTCACCCTTTTGTGTTATGAAATAGCATGTCTTATTCATCCTTTCTATTTTTTGTACCCATTAACCATCCCCACCTCCCCACCAGCCGCCCTCTACTACTCCTCCCAGCCTCTGGTAATCATCCTTCTATTCTTTATCTCCATGAGTTAGTTCAATTGTTTTGATTTTTAACTCCCACAAATAAGTGAGAACACGCAATGTTTCCTGTTTCTGTGCCTGGATAATTTCACTTAACATAGTGATCTCCAGTTCTATTCATGTTGTTGCAAATGACAGGATCTCATTCTTTTCTGTGGCTGAATAGTACTCCATTGTGTGTATGTACCACATTTTCTTTTTTCTTTCTTTTTTTTTTTTTTTTGCCTTTTATATAATTCAGTGGTACTTAGTTTATTCACACTTGTGCAATCATCACCACTATGTAATTTAAGAACATTTTTATCACTCCAAAAAGCCCTGTATCCATTAGCAGTCACTTCCCATCTTTCAACTCCAACCTCCTGCCAGCCCCTGGCAAACATGAATCTTCCCATGCCTATGGATTTTCCTATTGTGGACATTTTATATGAATGGGATCTTATAACAGGTGGTCTTTTGTGACTGGCTTCTTTGACTTAACATAATGTTTTTAGGGTTCATCCATTTTGTAACATGCATCAGAATTTTATTCTTTTAAAGGTTGAATAATATTCCATTGAATGGAGTATCACATTTTGTTAGTAAGGCATGGTGTGGTGTTAGTTAATCATGCACACTTGTGGTCCCAGCTACTTGCGAAGCTGAAGGAGGAAGATTACTTGAGCTCTGGAGGTCAAAGCTGCAGTAAGCTATGACCATAGCATTGCACTCCAGCCTGGGTGACAGAGTGAGACATTGTACCTATTAAAAGAAACATTAGGAGGCCAGGATGGGCAAATTGCTCGAGACCAGGAGTTTGAGACCTGCCTAGACAACATGGTTAAAACTCATCTCCACAAAAAATTTAAAAATCAGCCCAGTATGGTGATGTATGCCTGTAGTCCCAGCTACTCAGGAGGCTGACACAGGAGGATCACTGGAAGCCAGGAGGTTGAGGCTGCAGTTAACTTTTCAAAAAACAAACTTTTCATTTCATTGATCTTTTGTGGTGTTTTCTTCATTTCTATTTCATTTATTTCTGTTTTAATTATTATTATTTCTTTTCTTCTACTAATTTACCATTTGGTTTGCTCTTCCTTTTCTAGTTCTTTAAGATTCATTGCTAGGTTGTTTATTTGAAGTTTTTTTCTCTTTTTTGATGTAGACACTTAATAGCCATAAACTTCCTTCTTAATAGTGCTTTTGCTATATCTCATAAATTTTGGTGTGTTGTGTTTCCATTATCATTTGTTTCAAGAAATTTCTCAATTTCTTTCTTAATTTCTTCATTAACCCACTGGTCAGTCAGAAGCATATTGCTTAATTTCCATGTATTTGTATAGTTTCCAAAATTCCTCTTGAATTAATTTCTAGTTTCATTCCACTGTGGTTGGAGAAGCCCACAGTGTTCTACCCATTTCCACCTTGATATAATCCCAAGAGACTGACCTATGTGGACTGCATCAACAGACTCCCTTGTCTCTGATTTCTGATTTCTGATTTAGGTACTTCTCTGACTCTTCTGCTTCTGGGTCACCTGGGTTGCCTGTGACCCTCCACCAAATGCCACAGCACCTGACAGGTAGTCCTCTCATTACAGCTCTCCAGGTTCTAGTAACTGCCCACACCTTTTGCCCCTCCAAGTTTTCAGCAGATCACGATCCTGGAGGTATGGCATTACCTTTGAAGCTTTTCCTAAGCTCTGCCCACAATTTTATAGTCTCTTTATTAAATTATCTTCAGTTATCCAGACTATTCGGCTATAACATATTTTATTTTACTTTCTGGAAAAGGAAGGATGATTCAGAGGACAGAACCAAAAGCCCAGAGGGCTGAGGCAAGAGAGAAAGAACCTATTTAACAGGGAGCATGTCTGGGCCATGATCAAGAAAATGGCAATTTCTATCCAGTTGAATTTTGTAAATGTTATGGGACAGTGATTGCTATGTGACTCCTGTATTCCCCATTTATAAACAAAAGTGTTTACTAAAATTTTCTTACCCCTGTATCAGCAGTATCTGTTAGGTGTGTAGGGAGCAGATGACTTGTCTCTTTAGTTCATATGTCTTCAAGTAAAATTACAGCAGATACCTTCTTTCAAAAAATATAACTTAAAAAGAATTTTCAGTAGATTGTATATTTTTAAAATATAAAAACAGTTGATTTTTTAATTAAAATTTAACTTGATTTTATAGAGGTAATTTAATATGTGCCTCTGATTTACTATTTGGTAGCTGAAAATTCACCCACTACTAACAAAAGCTCCATGCTGGTAATAATGTATGACTAGCTATATTTCAGACATTCAATTTCTTTTTATTATTTTATTTATGGAACATTACTGTGTCAACCATTATAAAAAGAACAGACATCGCTAGAAAATATTTTTAAGCTCTCTCCTCAGAGCCCCTTTAATCTCGTTGTTCCTGATGCTGTAGATCAGGGGGTTCAACATGGGAATCACCACCATGTAGAACACAGATACCACCTTGTTCTGGTCAGTTGAGTAGCTGGACTTGGGCATCACATAAATGAAGGTAATGGTCCCATAGAACAGAGTGACCGCTGTGAGGTGGGAGGTGCAGGGAGAGAAGGCTTTGTGGCGCCCCTTGGTGGAACGCATCTTCAGGATGGTGAGGAGGATGTAGATGTAGGAGACGGCTATGATGCACACAGTAACCACAATGATGAAGCCAGCAGAAAATGAGGGAATGACTGCAGGGATATTGGTATCAGAACAGGAGAGTTCAAGTAAAGGAGTAAAATCACAGAAAAAATGATTGACTTGATTTGGTCCACAGAAGAATAAAGAAAGAAGGAAAAGGTAGAGGAGGAAGCATTAAGAAAGCCACCAATATAAGCCACTGTGAGTAGCTGGACACAGACTTGTGTGGACATTTTGTTTGAATAAAGCAGTGGGCTGCAAATTGCCACAAAACGGTCATAGGCCATGGCAGCAAGAAGGAAGCATTCAACTGTCCCAAAGAAAAATGCTGAACTAAGCTGGATAGCACATCCAAAGTAAGAGATTGTATTTCTCTCCACCAGGAAGTTTACAAGCATGTTAGGTGTGACAGAAGATGAATAGCCCATGTCAGCAAAAGCCAAATGGCTCAGAAAAAAGTACATAGGTTGATGGAGCTGAGAAGAGATTCTGATAAGAATGATTGTGCTGGGATTGCCAGATACGGTCACCAGGTAGATGCATAGGATGATCATGAAAAGGATGACTCGAAGGATTGGATCATCTGCTAAGCCCAGTAAGATGAACTCTGTCACAGCAGTGTGATTCTCATCCTTCAGGGAGTCCGTGAGACAAAGTAGCTGCTGCCAAAATGAACCTGTGATGAGAACAGCACATTAAAGAAATAAAAACTTGTTGGTTTCATTTTCATTAGAAGTCATTATGAAGACATTCAAGCATCAGTACATTTTTTACATCAAATAATGAGTCTGTTTTTAAAATTATTTTTAGCACAAACACCAGAAAACTTCCTCCAAATAATGTCTTTTTCTTACTATTTTGTATTGTTTCCAAAAATGCACTTATAATGTCTTTAAACCCAAAAAATAAAAATATAAGACAGTTGAGAATAACAATAACGACTGTTACGTATATAAAAATATATATACACATAGAATTTTGTTTATTAGACTTGAGTAATAGCTAACATTTATTATATGTTTACTAAATGATAAGCAGAGGGCTAGGAATTTTGTCTGGTTCACTTTCCACAAAATAGTATTCATTTCATCATTATTTTATAGATGCATAAACTGAATTTCAAAGAGATTATATAACTTTTTCAAGGTTACGTAGCAATTGGTGGAGTTAGAATATGAATTCTAGGAAGTATGACTATCCATTTTTTTAGTAACTGTACATCAAATAAATAATATACCATGACATTCAATACACTGGAAATGAGTGGATAACATTTTATCCTTTATGCCTTCTCACAGCTAATATGTAAGAGAGACACTGGGTTAGTTACATATTTCACAATATGTATCAGTAAAATAAGTCAATTTTTTAAAAAGGAAAAGTCAATTTATTTTTAACTCTTATCAGAAAGTAATTTCTAGTTAGAATTATGAATTAGGTCACATAAATTTATTAAATATTTTTAAAATATTAATAATGGAATATATTGTTTTATTAATAACTACACAAAAAGTATGATTGATATTCAGTACATAAAATACATTTATTTGAACAAATCAAATAGCTTTTACTGTAACAGTGTTTTCTAATTGGAGTTGTGCAGAATAAAATAATATTATTTTCAACATAATACATAGCTGGATAAAGTATAACCTAAAAATTGAAGAAGGCCACCCAACTAGTGGCCATGTTGATCCTCATCTCCAAATTTTCTAATTTTATATGCTAAGTTGTGTCTAATATGTTGTTGCCTTGAAGCTAACAGCATTCAGACCTATAAACAAAGTAAGTCTTTCTGCAAATATTTATGATAGTTTTACATTTCGAAATATTTAATTAAAATCTTTATAACTTTATAAATTTTATTACTTTATCAGTAAGTGCCCAAAATATCTTGAAAGTAGTGAGTTTATTAGCATATGGCACAGTGCAAAGTTTGAATAGTGTTGAAAGTCTATAAGGGTTACTGTCTTATGGGTAAATGAACAAGGAATCCTAATAACTGGATTATTCCTGTTTATTCACATGAAACTGATGGTGGAAACAGAGAAATTTAGTCAAAGTTTTTCACTAGCTGAGTGCTTGATTATATCTGCCCTGTTTCTGCCCTATGGCTTGTGAGTACAGATATAACTTTAGAAAATAAAGTGTTCTCAAATGGTGAATGAGAATCAATACATCAGATTCATTAACAAAAGCTAAATTCTTACCTCTTGAAATGAGAATTCATTCAACTTTGAGTAACAAATAAAACCCATAATGGTTATATAGCTATATTTTATTTTTGTTTTCCCTTGAGGAAAAGACTCTAGAGATTCAAATGTGAATTTAAAAGCCTTACAGAACATCATCATTTTCTGTAGTGGATATTGAGCAGTTCAATTCACACACAAAAACAACTCATCTTTCAAGATTCTGTCAATTCTCAAGTGATCAGTTTATTCTGTTGTCTGTAAGTGTTCATTCACAGTTCTATAACCTTTGTTAAATAGTTATTAGAGAGCACAATATAACAAATTGTCTTACAAATAAATACTGATTACAAGTTTACTATGATATTTATGATTAAGAAATATTCAATACTAAACTTCAGATGTAAAATACTAGCCTTAGCTTTACCTATTCAATATGTGTTTATTGTTAAGAATTTTGTTTTGGTATTTATAAGATGTACCATTAAGTACCTTAGGGGAATATGAGGTAGAACTTGATGTAAAGTTGAATGTTAAGTAATAAAAAATGTAAACACATATATACGAATTATCAGAGAAAAACTAAGAAAATAAGTGGCTTGAAGATTTTATGAAGATATACAAATTAAAAAAGATGTAGGCCATGCGCAGTGGCTCATGCCTGTAATCTCAGCACTTTGGGAGGCCTAGGCAGGCAGATCACCTGAGGTCAGGAGTTCAAGACCAGTCTGGCCAACATGGTGAAACACCATCTCTACTAAAAATACAAAAATTAGCTGGGTGTGGTACTGGGTGCCTGTAATCCCAGTTACTCAGGAGACTGAGGCAGAAGAATAGCTTGAACCTGGGAGGCGGAGGGTGCAGTGAGTCAAGATCACTCCACTGTACTCCAGCCTGGGAAACAAGAACGAAACTCCATCTCAAAAAAAAGAAAGATGTTTGGATGATTCTCAGATAAGAAATAATCTCTCACCATTGATATCTCAAAGAGTTGTCTCTTGAGTGGTTCCTTATGGTATAGCGAGACAGTGGTAGAACATAGGTATTTTCAACCCAAAGACTCAATTTTTCCCTAATTCTCTTGCTAATCTTAATTTTATAATTTCCTATCTCAACCCCTGAAGCCCCTCTTTGAGAAAGCTGGTTTACCACCACCATTATAATTAGAACCAGCATTCATTCAGAGTCACTTTATGTCAACAACTATGCTTAACAGTTTATACACATTTAATCCTTATAATAATTTTATGTGGTGTTTTTATTACCCTTATTTTTTCAAATGAGAGAACTGAGACTGAGGAGTTCAAGGAATTTGTACTGGGTGATTCCAATCTACATTGTCAGTTTCCTGCTTCCAGTGCTAACCACTAAACCTCTCCACTTGAATGCTCCACTTCTTATCTGAAGTCTAAGACCTTCTAGGAAACTGTTAGAAGCCTGCTCAGTCCTCATGCAAGCACATCCTAGATGTGGAAGCAGTAAATTCTCCTAAGGGCAACCCCAACTAATAAAGGCTGGAATTCAGTGCAAACATGCTCTGCCCTGATCTTTCAGATTGACATTTCTGGAAGACAGTCTCTGGACCTCTCGTTTGTTGCTGTAGAATCAAGATACTGTTGTTATAGCAGTGACCTTGATCATACAACCAAGAAGCATAACATCAAGGGGAGAAAGGTAATCTCTTGTTTGTAGGAATATATGAAAATAATCTAAAATGGTAAATACCTAGTTTAATAAAAAGACATAAAATATTTTTCTGGTGATCTGTTGTACAGCACAGTGACTATATTTAATAATAAAATATACTTAAGAGAGTAGATCTCAAATGTTTTTATCACAAAAGTTTTATAAATTTGTGAAGTGATGGATATGTTAATTTGCTTGATTTAATCATTTGATAATGTATGCATATGTCAAAATATTACATTGTACCCCATAAAAATATACAATTTTTATTTGTTAATTATACTTCAATAAAGCTAAGGAAAAATACTGTATTTCTCTTAATTCCTTTCAAATTTATACAAAGCAGCAAATAAAAAATTGTAATATTGCCTTGTGGGATATTTATGTATAGAGATGTAAGACGTATGACGACTTAGTGGCAGGAAGAAAATAAACATAAGATCTCAGAATCTCTATGTTTTATATGAATTAATTAGCTCTAGGTAAACTGCAAAAATTTAGAAGCATATGTTGTAATTCTGAAAACAATCATTTAAAAAGTAATGCAAAGAGGTATGCCAAAAATGTCAATGGGAAAATGCAAATGGACTTTTTTTAAAGTTCAAATAATGAAAAATGCAGGAAAGAGGAAGAGAGAACAGCAACCACTATAGTGACAAAAAAAAAATGAGAAAGAGTATCTACAAAGTCTTTCAACTAACATCATTCTTTTTTCTTTTTTTTGTATTTCACGTATTCTTTCTTTTTTTCTTTTTTTTTTCCATTTATTTTATTGCATTTTAGGTTTTGGGGTACATGTGAAGAACATGCAAGATTGTTGCATAGGTACATACATGGCAGTGTGATTTGCTGCCTTCCTCCCCATCACCTACATCTGGCAACTCTCCCCTTGCTATCTTTCCCCAGCTCCCCACCTCCCACTGTCCCTCCCCTATTTCCCCCCAACTGACCCTAGTGTGTAGTGCCCCCTCCCTGTGTCCATGTGATCTCATTGTTGAACACCCGCCTATGAGTGAGAACATGCGGTGTTTGATCTTCTGCTCTTCTGTCAGTTTGCTGAGAATGTCAACTAACATCATTCTTAATGATAAAATATTAAATGACTTCCATCCACATTTGGGTAAAAGGCAAGAAGGTCCAACCTCACCCCTTCTAGTCAACAATATATTAGAAGTACCAGGTATTGAAATAAGGAAATAGAGAGTAACAAAAAATATAAAGATGAAATAGGAAGAATTTAAACTGTCTTTTGTTTCCAGTTTAAGCAGAAAAGCCTCAGGTGTCTATAAAACACAGTAGCATTAATTTAGTAAGATCTCTGTATACAAAGATAATATACAAAACCAATGTTATTTTATTTCCGGCTTTATTGAGGCATGACTATCAAAAATTGTTTTAAGATGTACAACATGATTTTTTAAAAACAATTATTGATTGTAATAACAATAGAATCAAGCTTACATACCTATCACCTCAGAGTTAGCGTGTGTGTGTGTATGTGTGTGTGTGTGTGTGTGTGTGTGTGTGGTGAGAGCACTTAATATTTATTGTCTTACTGAATTTCAAGTATACATCATTATTACCTATAGTTACTATACTGTACATTCTTTGCCAAGAACTTATTCATCTTATAAATGAAAATTTGTAAGATGAATGTTTACATATATGTATACATATATGGTATGCTATATATGCTAAGTTTACATATATGTATACATATACCATATAGTATGTGTATATTAGTATGTGTATATTTAGTATACACATACACATATGTACATATATGTATATATACACATATATAATGCACCCACACATACACATCTCATTTTCTTTATCCATTCATCCATCAATAAACACCTAGTTATTTCCATATTTTAGTTACAGTGAATAATACTGCAGTGAACACAGGAGTGCAGATATCTCTTGAGAAACTAATTGCAATTCTTTTAGATACATACTCACAAGTGGGATTGCTAGATTCTATGGTAGTTCTATTTTTAGTTTTTTGAGGAATCTCTATACTGTTTTCCATATTGGCCATACGAATTTATAGTCCCACTAACAATGTATAAAGGTTGCCTTCCCTCCACATCCTTGCCAATACTTACCTGTTGATTTTTTAGTAACAGTCATCCTAACAGGTGTGAGGTGATAACTAATTGTGGTTTTTAATTTACATTTTCCTAATAATTGGTATTGTTGGACATTTTTTAATACACCCATCGCCCATTTGTATGAGAAATGACTATTATATTTTCTCTCATTTCTTTCTCCTTTTTTTTATTTTTTTTAGATGGAGTCTCACTCTGTTGCCCAGGCTGGAATGCAATAGTGCAATTTCAGCTCACTGCAACCTCTGCCTCCCAGGTTCAAGCAATTCTCCTGCCTTAGCCTCCCGAGTAGCTGGAATTATAGGTGTGTGCCACTACATCCAGCTTCTTTTTGTATTTTTAGTAGAGACAGGGTTACACCATATTGGCCAGACTAGTTTCAAACTTCTGACTTCAAGTGATCTGCCTGCCTCAGCCTCCCAAAGTGCTGGGATTACAAGTGTGAGCCACTGTGCCCAACTTTTTCTCCCATTTCATTAGTTGTCTCTTTACTCTGTTGATTTTTCCCTTCACCATGTTGAACTTTTTAGCTTTATGTAATTCCATTTATCTATTTTTGCTTTTGTTGTTTGTGCTTTGCGGGCCATATCAAAAAACTAATTGCCTACATCAATGTTATGGAGCTTTTCTACTATGTTTTAATCTAGTAGTTTTAGAATTTTAGGTCATATATGTAAGTCTTTAATCCATATTAGGTAATTTTTGTGTACAGTGTGAGATGAGGGTCTCTCCCCAGATTTGGGAAGTTTTCAGCCATAATTCTTTCAGTAAACTTTCTGCCCCATTCTCTATCTCTCTCTCTCTTTTTTAATACAAAGTTAGCTGTCTTAATAGTGTTCCACATAGCCCATAAAGTTTCTTCATTTTTTAAATTATTTTCCTTTTCTCCTTTGATTCAAATGACCTGTCTGATTTTACTGATTTTTTTTCTTCTTCTTAATTGAGTCTGCTGTTGAAGAACTCTATTTTATTTTTTAATTCAGTCATTGTATTTTTCACTCAAAATTTGTTTCTTTTAATGTTTTCCTCTTTCTTTAATTCTTATTTAAATTTTTTCCCTGATTTTGTTAAATTGTTTATCTGCATTTTTTTTCGAGTCCCTGACATTCATTAGAACAATTATTTCAAATTCTTTTTCAGTCAACTTGTGGGTCTCCTTTTCTTTGAGGATAATTACTGGGAGTTTATTGTGTTCTTTTGGTGGCATCATATTTTCCTGATTCTGTGTGATTCTTGTAACTTTGTGTAGATGTCTATGCATTTGCAGAAGCAGTCATCCCCTCCAAAATTCATAAACTGACTTTTTAGAGTAAAGACCTTCACCTGCAGTGGGTTAGACATACTGGAATGCATGAGGTACCAAATGAAGGGGCATATGGTGACTGTGGACCTCAGTGTGCATGGTATCCCATTGACTCAGACAGCTGGGGTTGGCAACCTCAGAAACTATGTGATCCTTGGTGATGAGAGCTGAAGAAGGCCCATAGTCACTGTGAGGTTCTCCTTCAAGTTGGCAAAGTTTCAGTCTCTACCAGACATGAAAAAGATAAAAGTGGTAGAAAAAGGCCCAAAGCAGGAATGAGAGATTGTAGAATACAAAACAGACTGGTTCAAGATGGGAGAGGGTAGGTACTGTTTATACATTACTATTTTGTTTTGTTTTGTTTTCACGATATTCTGTCACTAGATATACTTAACTATTTTTCAATTTTGAGTGTGTATAATAAAGTATAAGCAATCTTTATTCTGTGTATTTATTAAGACTCTGTCTTATGACACATTCTACAAAAGCAGAACCTTAGCAATTCAAATGTGTATGATTTAGTAAAAGAGTGATCTCAGGAGAAAACTAAGAATGAGAAAGAAGCAGGACAAGGCATGGGAATATGCCACAGAAAGGTGTGGGGTCAGCTGAAAATAGCTTCAGTCTGATTCCTGAGGAAGCACTGGAGCACAAATGGCACTTCGGAGTGGTTCTAGCTTGCAACAATAGGACATTTCTGCCATTGTTGTTTTAAAATCACCATATCATTCCGTTGTTGGCTACGGGCCACCCTGGGTGTGAGGTCATGCACACCCAGCTATTCCTAAGTAGCTTATGTTCCCTTTGGCTAAGAGCAATTCTCAAAAGAGAGGTTTATATATGTTAGAAGCTGGCTCTCAAATAAGCTTGGGAATGTATTTACTGCTCTGGTAAGGGAGATCCAGGAAAGGCACTAAGATGTCTACTTAATTTCAACAAGTCTTATTTACTGTGTACAGCTACCTACACTGACTCTGTTAGCATTGATATTCTGGTACCCAATGCAAGTTATCCAAAGTAAGTGGCTCTCCTTATAGAATTCCTTCTTAATGATGGCAATTTTTGACTTGGTTTTTGTACATTGTGCAAGCTAGGCAAGCTAGGGGTTTCTTGGATTATGTGGCATTTGTTCTGAGCCTTGAAGAATGTGCAAATTGTCGGATAGGTGAAATCAAGAATAGAGATTTTTCAGACAGAAAACAAAATGAGGAAAATGCAGAATTTTATTAGAAAACAGTGCATTAGTTTGCCTGAAGTATTGAGATGATGAAAACAGATATTGGAGACAAGACTTGCTAGTACATTAGGTAGAAGATTGTTATAGGTGGTGAAGACACTGAGGGACAAGCTAACCAGAGGGGCAATTCGAAGCCACCTGTGGATATTACAGATGGCAGTGCAGTAACTGGAGGTTTGGATAATAGTGGATATTCCTTTTCAGTAAGGTCTTCTACAGTGGAGTTGCCCCATGAGAAAAAAATCACAGTGATCATACTGCGTGTTTGTTTTCTTTTTACCTTCCTTCTTTTGTTTCCCCAGGCAATTGCTTCTAATGATGACCCATTCCCTTGCCCTGTGAATAAGTTTGAAGAGACCTGAGAGACTTCACAAATTTTCAGAATCATAAAATAAATGGTATTGTGCAGAAAGTAAAATATGCCCAAGGAAATCATCTGCATTCTAAGGATATGTTTTTAACAAGTTGAATTTCAATCATTTCTACTGTTATTCAGAAGAACAGGAGCAAACATCACTGAAAAGCCCCTATGGTGTGTGAGGATTTAAGAAAACATACTTGTGAGCATCACATAGAGGATATAGAAGTCAAGACTGTGTTGTCTAAATCAGTAGTTGCAAGATAGTGGCTTCCAGGACTCTCATTAAAATCTTCATGATTCTGAGTGCCATCTCCAAGAAATGAAGATAACATTACCTTTTAAGTATAGGTGACTCTAAATTTGGAGGGGACTGATCATAGGCGTTCAAAGGAAAAAGTTGCTTTAACACTTATCCATGAATAATGACATGAGTGAAATGACAGAAGGAACTGCAGAAAGCTGCACCTGAGTTGTCAAACTGTACATTATTCCTACAGCTTAAGTACTTCATGATTTTAAAAAAACTGGAAGGTGATTCTCCTTCTTTAGAAGGTAAGAATTTTAGAGTTTTGGGGATTTTTTGTTTTACTTTTTGCAATGTACATCATTTTATATGTTCTAATAATCAAGTATCTGTGTGTGTTTACAGCCTGTTAGAAGTTGAAGTATTTTGAATATTCTACTACTATTCTTCAGTAGTACTGAAGAAACTATGGGCACAGATAGCTGGAAATTAAGAATGTTGTCTGTTTCTTATTCTTGGTAGAGATAAAACCCAGAAAACTACATGAGGAGGGATTTGAAGAACTAAAAACAGAACAGGATGGCAAACTCAAAGCAAAATCCAGGTATAGGAAAAGGGTAAGACTTGGGGAAACCAAACAGAGAGGCTGACACAACTTTGTGGGCATCTTGTTCTCCAGAAGCTGCCAGAGTCCTTGGGAAGGAAGAGGGTAATGTTGTATGGATATATCTTTTGTCACTACTATACTTAAATAATGAGGAAAGCAGATTTTACCATCAACATGTATGAAAGATATCACAAAAGTCAAATGATCCCGACCAAAATCACTGAGAAAGATTGTGCAAACTATACATATCCTGATATCCTGGAGATGAAAAATCTCCTGGAGATGAAAAATATATTCTTTGATGAAGCTCTCCTAGTGACTCTAATATGACCATTTACAGGTCAAGTGTGATTTAATATTACAGTAAATAAGGGGAGTAAATGTAAAATGTAGAATGTAAAAATGATAGTTTCTTTATCCTAGGCTCTAAGCAACCACTGCTGAAGTTTTCAAAACTTGTTTGTTTTTGTTGTTGCTCAACATTCATAAGTGCAATTAAGCAAGCCTTTAGAAAGCACCTATTGCATTCACATTGCTAGGTGAAAAGATCCTTAAAATCTACTTAGCAGCCAACTATCTTTAGTGTATGTCTAAATAAAGTAAATGTGAAAGTTCAAACAATGTGTTGGGGAAGAATTAATGAAGGAATTGAAGTCATAATCATGGAAGCCTTTCTGGAGAATATGAGATCCTATTTTATCCTATGGCCATCGAACTACCCTTAGTCAAAACTGACATTGCACTCAACTTAGGCTGAAAATTGGGAGAGACAAAATTTTACATAGGTGTTTTTCCTGTCTAGTACAAGAGTCAAGCTTGTAAAAAATACCTTATTATAATAAAATGCCATGTGAATCTAGAAGATGAATAATACCTAGGCAAATTTAGAGAGTCTTTTGAGAAGTGATTAATTGTCATTTTGAGAAAGCTATGTTTTTAGGAGGCAGAGAAGGGCAGGAAAGACGTTGCAACTTAGGGAAAATAACATGGATAAAGTATAAGAGCCCCAAAAGGACGTGCTGTATTTGGGAAATAGTGGAATTTTTCTTATGTAGGAGAAGTTAGCAGAAGGAAATGAGGATGGACAGGTAAGACCCTGAAGCCATGCTAGGTGGAATTCCCCTTAGAATCTACTAGCTAAGCATGTAGTTCTCTAGACTCTCACTGCCTTGCTGTAAATATGCTGTGTATGTACATTTACTATCTCACTTTTGGCAAATCAGGTACCTCTCTGAGCCACAATTTCCTAATTGCAAATAAGATCATTTTAATAGTATTTATATCTTAGAGTAACTATGAGTATGTACAATACTATATAACCAAAACATATAATGAAGAGTGTAAGTTATTATTATTATTTAGCTTGTAGGCAAAAGGGGTCCAAAGACATCTATAATGAGGAGACATAGCGTGATCACAGGTTTGACATAAATAAGCTGGCAGTGGGTGAAGGGTAGAACTGGGAGAAGGAGATGCCATACTCACCCTATGGGGCAGACATAGGACAATAGCAGAGGGACTAAAAAAGAAGGTTAAGATGTTGAAAAACAGATATCTGGAATTTTGGAAGTAACTTACTGGGGTAAAAGATGTGGAAGGAATAAGAAATGCAGTCTAATAGTAACTCTCTGATGTCTGGAAATAAATAGAAAACACAGGAAGAAAACCCAATATGTGGGGGAATATGGCCGATTCTGCTCTAAAAATCTGTATTCAGTACTTGGAGGACATTCTGAATTTGGAGATGTCCCAGAAGAAATTGGAGATCCTTTTTTGATAGAGGCTAAAATTTGAGTCATGCAAAGTAGTGGTTCTGAAACAATAAAAATGGGAAAGACTTTCCTTTAGAGGTAAATCCTCTGGGAAACCTTCAGAGGAAAGAACCTGTGGGGAGTAGACTAAAAAATAAGTGATATGAGTCTTGGTTGAAAAATGCTTGGGCATAGTTGTTTTCCACCTCAGGGTCTATGTGTTATCTGTGCCTTGTGCCTGCAGTATTCTCCCCCTGATCATCATCTATTGTTTACATATAGTCATTCTATTCTTCATTTAAGTGTGTCACCTCCTCAGAGAGGGCTTTTAAATTCCACAAACGACAGTAGTGAAGCACTCTCGCATCACAGAGATCCTACATGTCTGGTTCCATGTTGTCCTTCCTATGCATACAAATGATGGATACATCATTGGCCTCTAGTCAATATATATGGAGTCAATTCATGGCCCTTGATAGTCATGTAACCACTCCATACCTTGCTTTCATATTTTGTAAAATAAAGACAAAAATTCTTTGCATAGCCTTATGAGAATTACATGAGACAGTTCTGTCTAATCCTAGCATATTGTTTAACACATTATTGGTATTGAGTAGGTGCTGGTTACTTGCCCTAACTCTTCTTGTATTCTTTGCCTACAAATGCAATGCACATGGAAGACAGTAACTTCTCAATTTACAATATAATTGTTTTGTGTTTTGTCTTTTTTTTGTCTTTAGTCTTGATGAATCTTTCAAAATAATTTCAGCCAGCATTTCTTTTTTCTCTCCCAGCACTTCATTCTCATACCTGCTTCCTTATTTCTTTTCCTTCAGCATTAACCATGACTGAAATTAAAATAAAAATTCTATGAAGAGTCTAGTATCACTTTCTGCCCTCATCTGCTAATCAGATTACATGTTGAACAGTCAAAATAGAAATGTTACTGGCAAAATTGATCTGAAGAATATTATTCTTAGGCTTGTTGCAAAGCAAACTACTTAAGTATACTAGCTGACAAATGTTCTGGAAGTCCTGCTAAAAACACAAAAATTGATCAGAACATTATGATCAGAATATGCCATTCTGGAATGAGCCAGTATCTTCAAAATTATATTAAATCTAAGTTAATCCATTATATGATATTAGACACTTCAAAAATAACTTCAACAGGATGTTCTTTTTTTAAATATATATTTTATTGCGTTTTAGGTTTTGGGGTACATGTGAAGAACATGCAAGATTGTTGCATAGGTACAAACATGGCAATGTGGTTTGCTGCCTTCCTCCCCATCACCTATATCTGGCATTTATCCCCATGTTATCCCTCCCCAACTCCCCACTCCCCTACTGTCCCTCCCTTAGTTCTCCCCTACAGACTCCAGTGTGTGGTGCTCCCCTCCTTGTGTCCATGTGTTCTCACTGTTCAATACCCACCTAGGAGTAAGAACATGCAGTGTTTGATTTTCTGTTCTTGTGTCAGTTTGCTGAGAATGATGGTTTCTAGGTTCACCTGTGTCCCTACAAAGGACGTGAACTCATTGATTTTTATGGCTGCATAGTATTCCATGGTGTATATGTGCCACATTTTCCTGTCCAGTCTATCATCGATGGACATTTGGGTTGGTTCCAAGTCTTTGCTATTGTAAACAGTGCTGCAATGAACATTAGTGTACATGTGTCCTGATAATAGAATGATTTATAATCCTTTGGATATATACCCAGTAATGGGATTGCTGGGTCAAATGGAATTTCTATTTCTAGGTCCTTGAGGAATCGCCACACTGTCTTCCACAATGGTTGAACTGATTTATACTCCCACCAACAGATTAAAAGTGTTCCTATTTCTCTACATCCTCTCCAGCATCTGTTGTCTCCAGATTTTTTGATGATTGCCATTCTAACTGGTGTGAGATGGTATCTCAATGTAGTTTTGATTTGCATTTCTCTAATGACCAGTGATGATGAGCATTTTTTCATATGTTTGTTAGCCTCATATATGTCATCTGTTGTAAAGTGTCTGTTCATATCCTTTGCCCACTTTTGAATGGGCTTGTTTGTTTTTTCCTTGTAAATCTGTTTTTGTACTTGTAGAATCTGGATATTAGCTGTTTGTCAGATAGGTAGATTGCAAAAATTTTTTCCCATTCTGTTGGTTGCCAGTTCACTCTAATGATTGTTTCTTTTGCTGCACAGAAGCTCTGGAGTTCAATTAGGTCCCATTTGTCTATTTTGGCTTTTGTTGCCAATGCTTTTGGTGTTTTAGTCATGAAGTCCTTGCCTACGCCTCTGTCCTGAATGGTTTTTCCTAGGTTTTCTTCTAGGGTTTTTATGGTGTTAGGTCGTATGTTTGTCTTTAATCCATCTGAAGTTAATTTTAGTGTAAGGTGTCAGGAAGGGGTCCAGTTTCTGCTTTCTGCACGTGGCTAGCCAGTTTTCCCAACACTATTTATTAAACAGGGAATCCTTTCCCCATTGCTTGTTTTAGTCTGGTTTGTCAAAGACCAGATGGTTGTAATGTGTGGCATTGCCTCCGAGGCCTCTGTTCTGTTCCATATCTCTGTTTTGGTACCAGTATCATGCTGTTTTGATTACTGTAGCCTTGTAGTATAGTTTGAAGTCAGGTAGTGTGATGCCTCCAACTTTGTTCTTTTTGCTTAAAACTGACTTGGCTATGTGGGCTCTCTTTTGGTTCCATATGAAGTTTAAGTTTGTTTTTTCCATTTCTGTGGAGAAGGTCATTGGTAGCTTGATGGGGATAGCATTGAATCTATAAATTACTTTGGGCAGTGTGACCATTTTTACAATATTGATTCTTCCTAACCATGAGCATGGAATACTTCTCCATCTGTTTGTGTCCTCTCTTATTTCGTTGAGCAGTGGTTTGTAGTTCTCCTTGAAGAGATCCTTTACATTCTTTGTTAGTTGTATTCCTAGGTATTTTATTCTCTTTGTAGTAATTGTGAATGGCACTTCATTCTTGATTTATGATGTTCTTAAGAACTTAAAAATTAATGATATATCTTAAGAGCTATTGTAATAAGAACAATTGATATTGTATGTCTCAAGCGTTATTATTATCACATATATGAACCCAGAAGATACAACATGTTAAATTGATTTGTCTTAGTCATTGACACAAATGTCACCCTCAGAGCCACTACACTGTGGAGAGCACTGATGAAGATAGAATTGCATTGAAAGAAATGTGAATGTTCTTTTGAAAATTTTCACTGAGTGGAGCCTTCGATAGTTCAGTTGGTAGAGCGGAGGACTGTAGTGGAAGAAAATTTTCACTGATCTCTCAGAATTTTTTAAGTGTTATATTAATTTTAAATAATTGAATTATTTTATTCATTCAATCAACAGTTTATTTTAAGCACTCCTGAGTGCTAGGGTACCACTAAATCACAAAAAGCATTTGATAAATGTAACATCTCAAAATCCAGTAGGTGAGATTAAAAAAAAAAAACTTTCATTCATATTTTGCATCTTCCTTGTAGATTCAGAATGGAGAAGAGGGAGATAAACAGTGCTTTTGTGGGTAGAATCCAGTTATAAATATTTGGGCCCACTCAATGTCATCTATACTTGCTATCATACTAGAATCATTCTTCTCATCACTAGGCTCCTGACTTTGACCTCTTTCCAGATGCATTTAACTCTCTTTCCCCAGGTATTCTAAGAATTGCCTGACAGTTGCCCAGGTTCCCTGAATAAAATACAGTTAAATCAGTGCATAAGGAACTTTATACAGTGATCTCAGACTCCTGACCAAGAACACCTCTGCACCATTGATAGACAGTGGCTGTGCCCACCAGGAGGATGGGCAATCACACTGCAGTGAGCATATTCCTTCTGTGGGGATTTTCCAGTTTTTCAGACCTGCAGCATCTACTTTTTGTGGTGATTTTCTTCTTCCATGTGACTATCATAGCGGCAAATGTGTCTGTAATGGGGGCCATCAAGCTCAGCCACAACCTTCACACTCTCATGTACTTTTTCCTCTGTGGCCTGTCCTTTTCAGAAACCTGTACCACTATGGTAGTCATCCCTCGCATGCTGGTGGACTTGCTATCAGAGAGCAAGACCATTTCTCTTCCTGAGTGTGCCACACAGATGTTTTTCTTTTTGGGCTTCGCATCGAATAACTGTTTCATCATGGGTGCCATGTCCTATGACTGCTACACAGCCATCTGCAACCCACTGCAGTACCACACCCTTATCACAAGAAACAGCTGCTTGCAGATGATGATGGCTTCTTGGATGGTTGGGTTCCTGTTTTCTCTGTGCATCATCGTCACTGTATTCAACTTGTCTTTTTGCGACTTGAACGCTATCCAGCACTACTTCTGTGATATCTCACCTGTGGTCTCCCTTGCTTGTAATTACACTTCCTATTATAAAATGGCTATTTTTGTGCTCTCTGCCTTTGTGTTGGTGGGCAGCTTTATTTTAATTATGATTTCCTATGTCTTCATTGTATTCATAGTCATAAAGATGCCCTCTGCCAAGGAGAGGTCTAAGGCCTTCTCAACTTGCTCCTCCCACCTCACTGTTGTGTGCATACACTATGGATTTGCTTCCTTTGTCTATTTGAGGCCCAAGAACGGCAACTCCTTCCATGAAAACATGCTGATGGCCATGGCATACACAATACTGACACCTCTGCTTAATCCCATTGTGTACAGTCTGAGGAACAAAGAAATGCAGATAGCCCTAAGAAAAGCACTAGGCAGTATAATTGGGTTTTTCCCTCAGAAGACAAAAAAAGGAGCCCTGAACATTTAAAAAAATTACCTATCTCAATATGCAATACTGTTTAAAAAAATTACCTATCATTGATAAATAAAGGTGGGAAAAGTGGAGTACTTCCAATTAATATCACTTTGTGCACAAGTGATTAAAGTATTGTCTATTGCCTGTTACGTCCTGACCTCATAACACCGTTTTCCTACTACAGAGATGATGCAGTTTTAAAATATTTTTAAATGGTGTGCGTGTGTGTGTGTGTGTGTGAACACATGCTTTTGGGGAATGTATTGCTTTGGGACACTGTATTTTAATGATAGCAGTTGCTTTTGGGGAAAAAAGAAAATATGATACTAAAGAGAGAAAGAGAGGAAGAAAGAAAGAGAGGAAGGAAGGAAGGAAAGAAAAAAGGATGGAAGGAGGAAAGGAAAAAGGAAGGAAAGAAGGAAAAAAGGGGAAAAAATAGAGTTGACTAGTATAATTAATCCAAAAAGAGGAAGAAAATACAAACATATGAAGTTGAAATTGAAAATGAGGGTGTGATTAAAATACAGAGAAAATTAAAAGCAATTTAAGAGAATACTTTGTTCAAATTTATTCAAACAAATTTGAAAATTAGAAGAAAAACATGAATACATTTATGGAAAAAATAAGCTTACAAAATGACCTCAAAAGCAATAGACATTTTTTGACATACCAATTTCCATGGAAATTTTTGAAAAATTTGTCAAAGAGATGCTTTCCTATTCTCATCCAGAAAGCATTAGAGCAGATAGTTTAATAATTAATTTGTTTAAATCTTCAAGGAACAAATAATTCAAATGCTATTTAAATTGATTTAGAGCACAAAAATAAACAACTTCTAATTTATGAATCTTACAGTGGTGGAAAGTGCTATTGTTGCTGACAGATCATGGCCCTGGTAGGGAAGTTGTGAAGTGGATTATGGAAAATTAGATGATGTAAGCTGGTGCAGGAATTTTGAGGCTGCATTGTTCATATGGTAGGAAGTGTGAAGTAATATATTATTCTGGATTTGAATTATATTTTCCTAATTACAAATGACAGCAAAGATCTTTTATATACTTATTAATCATTCATATGTCTAATTTAAAGAAATACATATTCAAATTCTCTACTCATTTTTAATTTGGGTATTTGTACTGAATTTAGATTGTTTAAATGATTCTAGATACACATCCTTGATCAGATATACTATGTGCAAGTATTCCCTTCCATTCTGTAGGTTGTTTCTTCTCTTTCTTTATAGTTTCCTTTGAAGCACAAAAGTTTTTAACTCGAATGAGGTGAAATTTATCTATCTTTTTTTTTTTTTTTGCTCATGGTTTTGATGTCATAACTAAGAATCTATTGCTTAATCCAAGATCATGAAGATTTTCCCCTATACTTTCTTCTAAGAGTTTTATAGTATTAAATCTTACATTTAGGTCCTTTGATCCATTTGAATTAACTTTTGTATGTGGGTTAAGATAAGGGTCCAACCTTATTCTTTTTCATGTGGATATTCAAATGACCCAGTACCATTTATTGAAAGGATTATTCATTACCCCATTGAATATTCTTGGCACCCTTGTAGACAATCTGTTCACCATAGACACATGGGTTTATTTCTGATCTCAACTCTATTCCATTGATTTATGCCTATCCTTTTTCCAGTACACACTGTCTTGATTAGTGTTGTTTTGTTGTTGTTGTGTTTTTTTGAGGCAAGGTCTCACTCCGTTGCACATGCTGGAGTGCAGTGGCATAATGGCTCACTGCAACCTCTGCCTCTCAGGTTTAAACAATTCTCCTGCCTCATCCTCCTGAGTAGCTGGGATTACAGGTGCTTGTCACCATGCCTGGCTAATTTTTCTGTTTTTCATTGAGACAGGATCTCACCATGTTGGCCAGGCTGGTCTTGAACTACTGACCTCAAGGGATCCATACTCCTTGTCCTCCCAAAGTGCTGGGATTATAGGCGTGAGCCACTGTTCCCAGCCTTGATTAGTGTTGTTTTATAGTAAGTATTAAAATTGGGAAGCATAAATTCTCCAATTTTGTTCTTGTTTTTCAAGATAGTTTTGGCTATTGGGGGTCACTTGCATTTCTATATACATTTTATGATCTTGTCAATTTCTATAAGGAAATCATCTGGGACTTTGAGGGATTATGTTTAATCTACAGATAAATTTGGGGAGTATTTTCATCTTAATAATATTAAGACTTCCAATTCATAAGCATAAGAATTTTCATTCATTTAGGTTTTATTTCATTCCTTTCAGCATTGAAAAAAATGATGTTACTGTAAATGGAATTGCGTTCTTAATTTCATTTTTAGATTTTGCATTGCTAGTGCAAGGAAATACCATTGATTTGTTATATTCATCCTATATCCTACAAGTTTCCTGGACTCATTTAAAATTAGTCCTTATAATTTTTAATGGATTTCTATATTTTTTCTATATGTTTATGTTTTCCATGAAATCATGTCATCTGAAAATACAGTTTTACTTCTACCTTTTCATTCTGGATCCCTTTTATTTCTTCTTATTGCTAATTGCCTTGCTTCTTCCATTGCAATGTTGAATAGAAGTAGCAAGAGAATTCTTGTCTCATTCCTCATATCTGGGGAAAGCATCTAGTCTTTGGCCATTAAGTATGAAATTAGCTATGAGTCTGTTCTAGATTTTGTCAGGTTTAAATTATCTGTTCACTGACTACATGATCTTATACCTAGAAAACCCTAAAGATTCCTCCAAAAGACTGTAGACTTGATAAACAACTTCAGTAAAGTTTCAATACAAACTGATGTACAAAAATAAGTTGAATTTCTATATACCAATAACACTGAAGCTTAGAACCAAATCAAGCACTCAATCCCATTGACAATAGCCATGAAAGATTAAAATAACTAACAATACACCTAACCAAGGAGGCAAAAGACCTCTACAAGGAGAACTACGAAACACCAATGAAGAAAAGTGTAGGTGACATGAACAAATAAAAAGAATCCCATGCTCATGGATTGAAAGAACCAACATCATTAAAATGGCCATGTTGCCGAAAGCAATCCACAGGTTCAATGCAATTTTTATGAAATTATCAGTGTAGTTTTTCATGGAATTAGAAAAATAAATACTAAAATTCATATGAGACAAAAAAAAAGCCCAAACAGGCAAAGCAATCCTGAGCAAATTAATATAGCTGAAAGTATCCCCTTACCTCACTTCAAAGTACAGTACAAGGCTATAATAACCAAATCAGCATGGTACTAGTACAAAAACAGACCTATAGATCAATGAAACAAAATAGCCCAGAAATAAAATCGCATACCTACAACCATCTGATCTTCAACAAAGTCAACAAAATAAACAATGGGAAAAGTATACCCTAATCAATAAATGGTGCTGGGAAAATTGGCTAGCCATATGCAGAAGGATGAAACTGGACCCCTATTTATCACCATATACAAAAATTAACTTAATATGGATTAAAAACTTAAATGTAAGACTTGAAGCTATAAAAACTCTGGAAGAAAGCCTAGGAAAAATTCTTCTGGACATTGGTCTTGGCAAAGAATTTGTAACTAAGACCAGAAAAGCAACTGAAATGAAAACAGAAAATAGACAAATGGGACTTAATTAAGGGGCTTCTGCACAGCAAAATAAATAATCAACAGGATAATCAGACAACCTCAGGATGGGAGAAAATATCTGCAAACTATGCATCAAACAAAGGACTAATATCCAGAATCTGTAAGGAGCTCAAATCAACAAGAAAAAAGACAAATAGCCACATTAAAAAGTGGGTGAAGGACATGAGCAGACATTTCTCAAAAGAAGACATACACATGGCCAACAGGCATATGTAAAAATGCTCTACATCATTAATCATTAAAGAAATGCAAATCAAAACCACAATGAGATAGCATCTCACACCAGTCAGATGGCTATAATTAAAAGATAACAGATGTTGATGAGGATGCAGAGAAAAAGAAAATGCTTATCCACTGTTAATAAGAATGTAAGTTAGTACAACTGCTAAGGCAAACAGTATGGAGATTTCTCAAAGAGCTAAATAATAGAAGTACCATTTGGCCCAGCAATCCTATGACTTTTCCTCTCTACCTAAAGGAAAAGAAATCAATATATCAAAAGTCCCCTAAGCTTGTTTGTTTATTGCACCGCTATTCACAATAGCAAAGTCATGGAATTAACTCTGTGTCTATCAACCGCTGATTAAATTTTAAAAATGTGGTATACATACACCATGGAATACTACCCAGCCATAACAAATATGAAAGCATGTCCTTTGTAGCAACAAGGATGAAGCTGGAGGACATTATGTTAAGTGAAATAGCTCAGAAACAGAAAATCAAATAGTGCATATCCTCATTTATAAGTAGAAGCTAAACAATGGGTACACACAGGCATAAAAATGGGAATAATAGATACTGGGGACTCCAAAAGATATTTGATCTAAAAAATTACTTATTGGGTACAATGTTCACTGTTTAGGTGATGGATTCACTAGAAACCCAAACTTCACTATTATGCAATATATCCAGGTAACAAACCTGCATGTGTACCCCTGAATCTAAAATTAATTTTTTAATGTTTTTAAAAGACAGCAGGGTTGACCATACTCATATCAGACTTTGGTTCAGAAACTGTTACAAGAATCAAAGAAGGTCCTTATATAATAATAACAGGGCACGTCGGGTGTGGTGGCTTCACGCCTGTAATCCCAGCACTTTGGGAGGCCGAGGCAGGCAGATCATGAAGCCAGGAGTTCAAGATCAGTCTGGCCAACATAGTGAAACCCCATCTCTACTAAAAATACCAAAAATTAGCCGGATGTGGTGCTGTGCATCTGTAATCCCAGCTACTTGGGAGGCTGAGGCAGGAGAATCGCGTGAACCCAGGAGGCGGAGGTTGCAGCGAGCTGTAATAGCAGCATTGCACTCCAGCCCAGGAGACAATGTGAGACTCTGTCTCTAAATAAATAAATAAATAATAAAAGGGCCAATGTATCAGGAAAATATAACAATTATAAATACATGCACACAACATCAGAGCACCTAAAATATAAATTAATACAATAATCGTAGAAGACTTCAATAGCCACCTTCAATAATGGATAGAATATCTAGAGAGAAAATCAGTAAGGAGACAGGAAGCTTGAACAACACTATACACCAAATTTTCCTGACATACAAAACATTCCAACCAACAGCCTCAAAAATTCATATTTTTCTCAAGTGCACATGAAACATATATAGAATTTATTTTGTTGGGTCACAAAATAAGTTTTAACAAATTTTAAAAGATTGAAATCTTAACAAATATCTTTTTGGATCACAATGAAATAAAAGTAGAAATCGATAACAGAAGGA